GAACTTTGAATGGCCAAAAGACACTTAAGGTCATGCTCAGCCTCCTTAGCAATCAGGGAAATGCAAATCAAAACCACTTTGAGATACCATTTTACACCGGTCAGATTAGCTAAACTCAAAAACACCAATGATAGCCTATGCTGGAGAGGATGTGGAGTGAGGGGAACACTCATCCATTGTTGGTGGGAATGCAAACTTGTGCAGCCACTGTGGAAATCAGTGTGGCGGTTTCTCAGGAAACTGGGAGTCAACCTCCCTCAGGACCCAGCAATTCCACTCTTGGGAATATACCCAAGAGATGCCCTATCACACCACAAAAGCATTTGTTCAACTATGTTCATAGCAGCATTATTTGTAATAGCCAGAACCTGGAAACAACCTAGGTGCCCCTCAATAGAAGAATGGTTAAAGGTGTGGAATATATACACATTAGAGTTTTACTCAGTGGTAAAAAACAATAACATCTTGAATTTTGCATGCAAATGGATGGAATTAGAAAACGCTTTACTGAGTGAGGTAACCCAGACCCAAAAAGAGGTATATGGTATGTATGCATTCATAAGTGGATTCTAGCCATAATTAAAGGTCTTTGAGTCTATTATTTGTGATCCTAGAGAAGCTAAATAAGAAGGTGAACCTGAAGAAAATTATGTAGTTATCCTCCTGAATATTGGAAGTAGACAAGAGTGCCAGGCAACCTTGGGTGCATGGGGTTGGGGGGGGTGGACGGAAGGGGAGAGGGTTAGAGGAAGGGAGTAAGGGAGGATTGGGGAAAACTTGGGAGATTGGGATGGGGGGGAGGAAGGATAGATATGGGAGCAGGGAAGTATATATCTCAACTAAGGGAGCCATTTTAGGGTTTATAAGAGTCTTGATTCTAGAGGGGTTCCCAGGTCCAAGGAGAGATCCCCAGATTGTCCCCTGGACAGCAGAGGAGAGGGTGCCTGAACTGGCCTTGGCCCATAACCATACTGATGAATATTTTGCATATCACCTTAGAACCTTCATCTGGCGATGGATGGAGATAGAGACAGAGACCCACATTGGAACACTGGACTTAACTCCCTAGGTCCAAATGAGAAGCAGGAGGGAGAACGTGAGCAAGGAAGGCAGGATCAGAGGGATCCTTCACGGGACAATGGATGGAGATTGAGACAGAGACCCACATTGGAGCACTGGACTGAGCCCCCAAGGTCCAAATGAGGAACAGAAGGAGGGAGAACATGAACAAGGAAGGCAGGACTGTGAGGAGTGCATTCACCCACTGATACAAGGGGACTGATCTAATGAGAGTTCACCAAGGCCAGCTGGACTCGGACTGAACGAGCACGTGATCAAACCGGATTCTCTGAATGTGTCTGGCACAGGGACTGTCTGAGAAGCCATTGATAATGGCACTGGGACTTGTTTCCTCTGCATGTACTGGCTTTTTGGGATCCTAGTCTTTTTGGATGCTCACCTTCCTAGACCTGGAGGGAGGGGGGAGGAACTTGAACTTCCCACAGGGCAGGAAACCCGGACTGCTCTTAGGCCTGGAGAGGGAGGAGGAGAGGGAGTAGGGGGAGTGGGAGGGTATTGGGAGCAGGGGCGAAAGTGGAAACTTTTATAAATTAATTTAATAAAAAAAGAAAGAAAGAGAAATAAACAAACAAAAATCAAAAAAAAAAAAAAAAAGAAGGAACCTCACAGATCATACCGACCTTCAGCCTCAACTTTCGTCTTCGGTTGGCCCGAGGTGGCCCCTGGGCTGTCATGTGGCCATGTGCACATACTTATGCAGCGCACCCCAGGTTGAGAACTGCTGGATTCCAGTATTTTAACGCTGGGGAAACTGAGGGCAGAAAGGAGGAAGTGAGTCAGTGCAAAGGACTGGGACCAAGATCAGATCTGGCATCTGGTCCAATGATGCTCAGGTCTCTTACTTCTCCTTGGGGAAAAGGAAATGTCCTATTTCTCTCTGTGTCCAGAAAAGCACACTGCACTCTTCCAGGCCAGCAGTGAACAGGCCCTTCAGACTAAAGTCCCACTGAGCTCACAGCTCACTGTAAGGAACTGTTTCTAATGGTGCCTGCTTTCTGACTTAGTCAGGGTTACAATTGCTGTGATGAAACACCGTGACCCAAAGCAACCTGGGGGGGGGGGAGGAAAAAGGTTTATTTGGTTTATGTACCCCAAGTCACAGTCCATTGAGGAAACCAAGGCAGGAACTCAAACTGGGCAGGAATCCAGAGGCAGGAGCTGATGCAGAGGCTGTGAGGGGTGCTGCTTGCTGGCTTGCATCTCCTGGCTTGCTCTATCTGCTTTCTTATAGAACCCAGGTCCACCAGGTCAAGGTCAGACTGCCCACAATGGCCAGGGCCCCCCTGCACCAATCACTGCTCCACAGGCCTCCCTACAGCCCAATCTTATGGAGGCTTTTTTTGTTGTCATTTGAGGCTCCCTCCTTTCAGATTATTCTAGCTTGTGTCAGGGTGACATAAAACATAAAACAAACCAGCACACTTTCTGTACAAGTCTCCCTTGTCGGGACCAGGCAAAGTGTCCCAAGAACCTCAAGCAGGTAGGAAGTGGGGAAATGCTGTGAATGAAAGATAGCACAGCCAAGATCAGACGTCTGTGTCTGTTTGGACAGGGACCCTTCAGTTGCTGATGGTCCTTCAGCAACATGGTTCTCATCTTGGGAATCCAAGGCTTTTATTTTCCCCTGGCTTCTGACTTTGACCAAGTCACTTTGAATTGGTCATCACCAACTCTGCCTAATCTCATGGAACCCGGGGCCTCTGAATGGTTCCTTCTATGTGTGTCAGCTTGACACAAAGCATTAATTGAAAACATTAATGTCTTGACAAAGCCTAGGCTTTTCTATCAAGATACCGTCTTGGTTCAAATGTACCTTAGGGCAGAAAAACAGCAGCAGGAAGCCTGTTGTAGAGGAGCCATCTTTCCATCAAGGGGAGCCATTCTTTTTCCTAAAGCCTCTGGATCCTGAAAGGGAAGTCACAACAAAGTCTGAGCTCCTCACCTGCCAGGGGTGGAGCACACCTTTGATCCCAGCACTCAGGACAGAGAGGCAGAGGTAGAGGCAGGAGAACCTCTGTGAGTTGAAGGACAGTCTATAAAACGAGTTCCAGGACAGTCTGAACACCTCTCCCTGGCTTGAACAGGAATAGTATGGCCAGAGCTGGCCTTTAGGGAAGAACTCTAGGAGCCACGGAACAAGGCTTAAGGGAAGTGGAATGGGGTGGTAGGAGGTCAGTTTGCCGAAGTCACTGCTGTCAGCTAGGTAAGGGATGATGAGAAATAAACCAAAGTGTGAGACCAGAAAATAAAGCTGTCAAGAACAGGTTGGAAAGGAGCCATTTTGACCAGAAAACGGCAGGACTGTAGGAGATGGTGATGATGCCTGGACCGGGAGCTTGAGAACCTGTTGGCCATGGTTCTGGGAATAGACTGAGGGACGTAAGAGGGGCTGTTTTGAAGGGACTGTGGCGTTAGGTTTGTGTTGAGGGATGCAGACATCCAAGCGTATAATAGTAGATTCAGTAACTCTGAGCTGCAGATAGCTATGCGGGGTTTGAGAAGGCTCATCCTCCTTCTCATTCCTCCTTGTGAGGGGACCAGGGAGCACACAGAGTGAGAAAAGGAGGGGACCGAGAACCAAACTTAGAAGAGTTTCTATATTTAAGTATCGAACAAGGAAGGAATCAGAGATGGAGCTAGGGTGTGTGTATACGTGCGAAATAAAGTACGCTTTTGCCCCCGGTCAACGGAGGGGGTTTCATGAAGGGATATGGAGAGAGAGGATGAAAGCTGAACAGTGTTGTTATTTCGACACTCGTTAAAGACTTTTGGTCCTGGTAGGCCTCATTTCAATCATAACAAGCTGTCGTGGTCCTGAAGAAAAAAAGCACAGGCCCTGACCCAAGAAAGCACTTCGACAGGTTTCTGGATAGCTCACACAGACGTAATTACTTTCTAGAGCTCCACGTCGCTCAGAATTTCCAAATAAATCCTTTTAGCGCGCAGCCTCTCTGGATTCAGTGCTAGAAACTGCAAAGACTGGAGGGCGGGCTGACGACCGGATATATCAAGAATAACATTAAATATTAATGAGCATTCTTCGGCGGAGCTGGAGGTTCAGGGAGAAACCTCTCCAAGCCACTAGATCCACGCCCCCTCATGAATATGCATATACAACTCGCCGTGCCCCGCCCCGCCGCGCCCCGCCCTCTACTCTTCCCCCAGCGCAACAGACTCTCCCTTCAAACGGGAAACAAGATGGCGGCGGCAGGTCCGAGCACTCGGGCTTCTTCCGCGGCGGCCACGGCGGCTCTGAGTCGGCGGGGCCGGCGGGGCCGCTGTGACGAGATGGCGGCCGCGAAGACCGGGCTTCCGGGCCCGGCCTCTAGCCCCACG